TAGAAGTAAGTCTACCCCAGTATTTATTCGACGATCCATCCTCTGTCATAATTTTAAAGGAGTGTGCCATTTGGACAAGAGTCGTAAGGTGATTTTTTTACAGAATAAGTTAAAGTAGGCATTTAAATTATATTTTTTATAAAATATTTGCTGCATATCTGATATCAATTGGAGATATTTCAGTATATTAATGAATTTTAACGTATTTTGTGAGTATTTTTTGAAGAAATAGCGCCTAAAAACAATTTCAACATCAAAACAACAAAAAAATAGGATTCTTAAAGAGATATTATCAATAATGAGAATAATTTCGAAATTATTTTTCTTTGTTCTACGAGTATGTACTCGTATGTTGACATATGACATAAGAAGTGGAAGAAGTAAACAAAAAATAAGACATTATTATGCATGCACCGCAAATGGACGTATGTGATTAAAAATGACTTTAGCCTACGTTATTGGAATAGAGCATCTATATTATTAAATGACTAGTTTTATTTTCCGATCCACCGAAGCAAAACTTATAAACATAATATTTTCTTAGATTTACGCGAATACATACGTTTTAAAATTTACATTTTTAATAAAATCTTTTCGGATTTTTTCGTGGACTCATATAGATTTTTTGGTTCCCGACATTTCGAATGCTCAGCAATCATGGTTACTTGTAAAGATACTATATATAGCTTTGAGTGTAATACGAGCATAATTTACGTAAAGACTACGTTCCCTAATCCCGATAATGGATGAAGATTCCGCGGATCTCAGAGACATTGTAAGCGATCTGTGCAATGTGATTGTATAGAAAATACTTTTATTTAAATAATAAATGAAAACTTTGTAAGAGATAGGTATTGTTTAGATTGTTGTTTTACTAGTGACTTTGACTTGACTTTTTAAAATATGATATGCATTATACTTACATCTTCCGGAAGAAGATGAGAAAAATAATGTTTTCTGTTGTACATCTACATATGGAGGAAATTTTATATTTGGACAAAAGTCAAGAACAAAAATGATATCTACGTTGCTTATTTAGGATTAATAAATCAGTTTTTGAAAAATCTAAGCTGAATTTGAAGTTGTAATGTGCTGAATTTGAAAAAAAATAAAAAAAATTGGCAGCGGTGGGATTCGAACCCACGCCTCCGAAGAGACACGCCACGCTACCATTTGGTGTATATTTATAAGAATCTGTTTTAATTACCTTTTAAAAAATAATTAAAACTTATATTATTTTTTTGGGGTTTTCCTTCAGCCCTCTCTCCCTGTTCTATATAAAGGGCCGCGTTTGATGCTTTACAGAACAATTTGACGGATATCCTAATAAATAATAAAAACTATATACTAGGCAGTGGTAGCCCAGTGGTAACGCGTTCGCTTGGGAAACCGAGTGAAGCGGGTTCAAATCCCGAGTCTCGTACATCTGATATTTTCATGTGCGAATCTATTCTAACACGATTACCACTTGCCTTACGGTGAAGGAAAATATCGTAAGGAAACCTGCAATCTGCATGTCAGAGAGAACCTACCATGTTTTCGAAAGACATGTGAAGTCCGCGAACCCGCACTAGGCTAGCGTGATTCCACTAAGGCTATTGAAGGAAGACCCGTGCCTAGCAGTGAGAAGTTTACGTAAACTCGCTACGTTCTCTCAGACATGCAGGTTTCGTCACGAGGTTTCCCTTAGCCGTAAGACAAGTAGTAGCCATGTTGGAAATGATTTGCACATGAAATTATTAGAAGTGTGAGATTTGATCCGGAATTTGAACTAGCTTCACTTGGTTTTCCAAGCAAGCCCGTCCCCACTGGACTACCTCTTGCTAATCCTTCTTCATAGTCTAATAAATATAAACTGTCGCATTTATTATTCACTTAAGTTACGAAAAATTATCTATAAAGATAGTTTCATACAAACTTTCATTCCTTATTTTACCCCCTTATATGATGAATTTAGAAAAGTACTAAAACACGTATTTATTTAATTTTATTTAATACAGAATTTCAAGTAATTCTAATCATAAATATTTTTTGGATTGTATTATAACGTGTTTTCCCATGGGAATTAAATAATATCTTGTGGTAAAAAGTAGCCTATGTTGCTCTCCTACCTTCCAACTATCTCCATACAAAAAATCACGCCAATCCGTCTCTCCGTTTCGACGTGAAAGAAGGACAACCAAACAAAGAAACTTTCACATTTATAATATTAGTATGGATAGTAATCTGATTAGAGTTTTATTTTGACTGGCTAAGCCCTTAACAACTTGATTTCTTTGTACCATCTGGCTTTATTCGAAAAGGGGTCCTTACACCTTATTACACTGGAGGTGTTACATACACTTGTGCAAAGAAACCAACCAACAAAAGCTAGCAAACTAGTTAGAAAAGTACATGCAATATTGCGTAACTCCGTAGTTATGTTGGTTGGTTGGGTTTCAAACTTACGAATATATAAAAATCGGACTACACTGTAAAAAGTTATGCGTGGTCAAAAATAAAAAGAAAAAACATAAAATACGTGTCGAATTGAGAACTTCCTTTTTTTCGTCGGTAAAAAATAACAAAGCTGTACATAAAAATATTTTTTAAAAACAATAACTGTTACGTATTGTGTACAGAATATAGATCCCAAAACAATAGTACCTAATTGATTTTTTTGTACGTTTGTCTGTATATCTGTGTGCATTTCACGTGAAAAATACTGAACTTATATTAATTAAACTTTGTGTTATTATACTCGGGTCAATATTTAGGACACCTTTTACTATAGGAACATCTTAATTCGCACGAAAAACCTTATTTTTGTCCATCTTTTTATTAAACTTCATCAAATCGGTCTGCCTTCTTCAATGTTAAGGAGTAACAATTACAAGTACACACACACATATTATCTTAGTATAACAAAAAAATATAATTTTAAATCTAAGTTTATTTCATTTTAACATCCAAATTTTGCTCTGTTGTTCATTATTATTGTATTACCAGTGTAATCTAGTTTTGGCCTTTTTGTAACTCTTTCTTGTGTACAATGTGCAATTTTAATTAATTCTATAACGCTGTTGAATTACTAAATAAATACAACATTTATAATAGTAACTAGCAATTCACCCTTGATCCGTTCGGGTTCGTCCCTACTTACGTTTTAACGCTTTGTATAGATTTCTCAGAGATGAGATATTTTCTCCAAGTAAAAAGTATCTTATAAGTTGACCCGGATAACCAGCTATCGTACCAAAGTTCATCAAAATTCCTCTAGTATTTTTTCCGAGATGCAGTCACAGACTGACAGAAAGACAGACAGACAAAATTCTAAAAACTATAGATTCGGCATCTGTAATAATGACTATTTCAATAAGATTTTCCAAAAAATATTTATTGTTTCATATATTCGACACAGAATTTTATTACATGTATAGATGAGATTTTATTTTTAAAATATTATTATTAAACAATTATTTAATTATCCCTTTTTGCTTAAAAATATAAATAAAAGTGTTAACAAAGGCGTACACAAGAGTCAGTTCCTCAAGTAGCGTATGCAAATTGGGCATCAAACGCAGCTGAATTTAAAAGGATGTTTGATAAAATTTCCTTCGTATGAAAATGATATTGCGTCTTGTAATAACGTCGGAGCACTTTGTTCTAACGGTACTATCGACAGGAGAAGTTGGTGGGTAATCTATACTAGACTAGTTTAAGTACGCGGATATATCTACACTTGTTTCGTTCAAAGGTTTTGAACAGCGCCATCTATTGAGTTTAGAATGAAGATATTATAAAAGCGCTAAAATTGATTTATTTTCCTGTGTAAATATTCTTGTGTGATTATCCTATGTTTTAGTAATTGAATAGTAAACGTAAAAAATCGTATATCGTAGCAATAACTTCACGAATACACGTATATTTATTGGCATATCTTTCATAAGACTTCTGTAGTTCACTGTAGCATACACAAGGGAGGCTTTTGAAAGGCTGTACTGAAACGAATGACCTAGAAAACTGTTCTGTTTCTCAGATGAGGCCATATATTGAAGTGTGATGTAACGTAAGGACAAGGTTGTTACTTGTTGGTAGATTGATGTTTTGTGGGAGAAAGTTCAAAAATTTGTTATTATTGTGTATGTTGTATGAAAATTAAAAGTAAATGAATATAATATGAACGTATTTGCTAGAAAATAGTGTTTTTGATCGTTGTTCATAAATATAAAAAAAAGCAGGTGACCTCCTAGGGGTTGGAATAAAATGTGATTCCGATCCTTGAACTATATATAAGGAAACAAATTAAATGTTCAATTTTTTCATCCCCCAGCATTACTAACTACGTCATTACTTAGCGTCTTTGAATAAAACGGTTAGGACATACGGACAGATACGATGATTATAATACTCCATGTCTTTTGGGTTACGGAATCCTAAAATACATGTAATCAAATGGTAAGAGTGATGTTTTATTTTATAATTTAGATAAATACAATAGGGAAAATAGTTAGCAAAATTCTAAAACCAGTGGACATGATTTTCTAATAAGTTAAGTTATATTTTCTAACTAGCGACTCACCCTCGCTTTGCTTGGGTTTGTCCCTAGCTTGTTTCCCAGTACAAATTTTCATCCCTATTTTCACCCTCTTAAGGGATGATTTCCGGGATAAAAAGTATCCTATGTCTTTCCCAGGGTTTCAAAATGTCTTCTTACCTTTCATCTAAATCGGTTCAGTAGATCCAGAGATTACCCCCTACAACGTCACAAACTCACAAACTTTACCTCTTTATAATATTAGTATAGATGAGACCAATTAAAAAGACATTAAGAGAAAAGAAAAAATAATATCCCCAAAAAACTTATTGAATTGGACCACGTCATTATTATGAAATCAGGATTATCCAACCGATAAGATATCTTCGAACTACCGATAAATCTTGATATAATACTGAGGATAACAATTTAGTGTAATTACAATCGTTTTATTAGACAGACTTTGATTGTGATTGTGTACAAAATGGCACCAAAGAAGAAGGAAAAGAATAAAAATAGCAATGTAAAGAAGAATGAAGCAGATGTTATTAAAGAAGTTAAAAAGAGTAGAAGTAATTTTGTAGTAAGTGCTTAATTACGCTTGGTTTTAATTGAATATATTTAATGTTATGTACGATGTCAGTGGTATTATATTGGCATATAGCGGTATTGTATTTTAATACTATGTGTACTAATATTAAGCAAATTAAGCAAGGAAGGAAATTTGGGGCTTAGATAAGATTCTACAATCGTTGAAGAAAAGAAATCCTAAAAAAATATATGAGAATGATAGAATAGTGACGATTAAATTTGTCAATTCAATACAATTTTTACAATTTCTATTCTTTAATTGATTGCGGAGAGACATTTAACTTTTAAGCCTCTTCATTTGTTCGATGTTTCATAGATTAAGTAGTAATCTGTGCTCAACTGGCACGCTTTGAAGTCAGTAACAAGATAATTGAATTGAATTAGATGTTGGATTATTTAGATTATATATGAATACTAGCGGACCCGACAGACGTTGTCCTGTCTACACGTCTTTAATTTGAAAATTTCAAACTTTTTTAATAATTTTTTTGATGAAAATTATTATTCAAATTGTGAATCTAAACCATTCCCAGATCCCCTTGAACACACACAAAAAAATTCATCAAAATCGGTCCAGTCGTTTGAGAGAAGTTCAGTGACATACACACTCACAGAAGAATTATATATATAAAGATTTCTTATTTGCATAAAGATATTAAGGGAATTTATAATGTTAATCTAAACATATAAAAGTTTCACTACACATGATTACAGTTTTAATATAATTAATTGTTGAGAATATTCGTGATGAAGTCCTACAATAATATTAACGGCAGGTCCACAACTTTAACGAGACTAATGTTTATATTAAAGATTTAGCACAGCATAGAGTTACAACATCAATTAAGCAGTATTTATGTATATGTACAAGATAAAGGAAGAGTTTAGTGATAGATCATTATATCTTCTCTGTATTTAAAAAAATCTATTAAAAATAATAAAATAATTCAATTCGATTCTTTATTAAGTAGCTCGTAAGAGTACCGTTTTGGCATATATGAAAATATTTCGTGAAAATATACATAAGTTTTTACCCTAAAGGAACTTGTTATTTCTCATATTATAAAAGCTGGTATCAATTTATTGTAATGTATATTTCTTTAGAATTGAATATTTATAATTTTCCATTTATTTTTGACATCTTTATTATTATAGTGAGAATATTTTCTCCATTCGTTTGTAATTCGCAGATGCTATATTTATTTATTATATAGCTAAATTTACTATATATTTCCTTTATGAAAAATTTTACAAAATTTCAAACATTGTTCAACACATACATATAAATATGTTGGGATATTAACACACACCACTATCTAGTTCCATGGTAAGCTACGAGGCCTGTGTTTTGGTATCAGATAGTTGATACACAGCACATATATAACTTTAAATACATCCACATATATAACTACAAATCCAGTCATGGGTATTTATAAATATAAACAATAATGGAGTACAAGCATTCGTGTTCATCACACAATTAATGAATGCCAGCGGGACTCGAACCCGCGACCGCTGGTACAGCAAGTAGGGTCATTACAATCTGAGCTAAACATGTCGTCTTTAAATACATACATTACTACCATTTTAGCACAGTCAGATAAAATTTTTGTTTTTTTTTTCAGGTAGCACAAATAATCATTTCGATATTAGGAATAATATTATCAATAGCTTTGTATAATTTTTATATATCCTATTTATACACGCCAAGTTTGCCGAAGTTCGACTTAGATGTCTCTTGGGGGCCGAGCAAGTCTGATACTTCCATACGGCCTTATAGAATCTTATTTACTGACTCTGTAAGTATTTTTTAGTTAAATTTGACTAAATCTTCGACTTCAACAATATTTGATTAATAATTCTATTCTCAATGAAAATAAAAACCCCCGTTTAGTTATTTTTACATTTTAGTGCCTGAAGGTCGGTTTTTTTAAGTTTTTTATCCAAAATATCTAACAATGGTAAATGAAAATCATTTGTCTAGTTAAATATACTAAAAAATTTCGTAAAAAAATATAAAGACGAGTACTTTCTTCAATATTTTCTTATTATTTTACCATTCTCTAAAACAGGCTATTGTTAACTGTTTATATTCAAACATTTCAGGATACCAAAAAGGCTAAATAGCAAAGTAAAGCCAATTATAAGTTTTCGTTAATTAGTTGCGAAGTCTCTAACAAGGTTTTGATAATATTTAGAGATTGCTTCACTAAACTTCGCTCAAGTTCGCTAATACAAATAGTTATGTACATTCACGATGATTGGCAAAGTTAGATCTTTTTAGGGTCCCATATAAAAATAATAATCCATACTAATATTATAAATATGAAAGTAACCTTTTCACGCGTAAAGCGCTGAACAGGTTTCGATAAAATTTAACAAGGACATAGATTGTCTCCTGGGATTGGACATTGACTACCCTTGAACCCCGTCCCACTTATTACGCGAGCAAAGCCCCCATGGCTTGGCTGGCTAAAACTAGCAAACAATATTAATAAATTTTATTTAAATACAAACATTGCTCGCGGCTCCGCCCGCGTTCAGATGACCAAAAAGCAAATTCTTAGGTTTTAGATATTAGTATACTTTTACATTGCAGTTTTTGTATTTTTTCTCAGAAATGAGATATTTTCCCGCGGTAAAAAGTATCCTATATATTGACTTGGATAACCAGCTATCACCATACCAAATTGCATCAAAATCCCTCCAGTGGTTTTTCTGTGATGCGGTAACAGACAGACAGATAGACAGACATACAAAAATGCTTAAAACTATAGATTCGACCTCTGTATCGAATATCGATTTAATAATGTTTATTTCAATAAGATGTTCCAAAAAAATTTTAATTTACAGATTATTAGACGTATTATTGTAAAAAAGGCATATAATAGCATAAATAGCTAAATAAAAAAAAATATATTGTTTACAGAGGTACCCAATAAAATTTAATTCTAGTTGTAGTTATCTAGGTTTCTAGACAGTTTGATAATCCTTATTTTAACCCACTTCCAAAAAGGAGGAGGTTCTCAATTCGTCGGAATCTTTTTCTTTTCTTATTATGTTACTCGTTTTTATTAAATACCTCAGTAATTATTGAATTGGCACTTTATTCAACATAAAATTTATCTAAATTTACTTATATTTTATTATATTCTATTTAATAAATAAACAAATTAAATAAAAACACTAATTCTGAAAACTAATATAAGAAGTAAAATTCTGCAGAACCATTTTACACGTACATATAATTTACTTTTGGGCATTTTATTTTAGCGTCTTAGCCTTGATTAGTTTAATAAGTTTATTTTCATTTAGATTATGAAATATTTAATTTCGTAATAAATTATTCAAAGATCTTATTAAAGTTTATATACAATTTTCAGATGGAAGAGAATGTGAGGCGAAAATTCGAGGCTTACCGTCGCGTTACAAAAACTAAAAGCTTTAATGAGTCATCGGCTTACGGCATAAATTCTGATGTTTTAGGCCAAATATTCGCACATTGGCAGTTCAAATATAAATATAATCAAAGGCAAAGATTTTTGAACCAATTCGATCATTATAAAACTAATATACAAGGGCTGGATATTCACTTTATGAGAGTTGTACCAAGAAATGTGAAAAATGTTCAGGTATGTACATAATGTGATTGTCGTATAAATGCTATATTTGAGTGATATTTGATAAAGATCGATATGATAACTATGACAATCATTAAAAATGTATTAATTTAAAGTATGTACATACAGTACATTTTATTTTTTTTGATCGGAACCCTAATTCTTTTACTGAAATAAAAGTAGCCTAAGGTACTCCTTATATCATCAACTACCTGCCAGTGAAAGTCGCGTCAAAATCGGCCGCTTCAATTGGCAGAGTTCAATTTACATTGTTGTTTTCATTTCAACTAAAATAATTACCTTAACACAATTGTATATCTAGTTGTTATGGGATTGTATATCTAGTACTTTTTTGATCGATGCACATAAAAAAATTAATTCTGATTAACAAGTTGGATATTTTCGACCCTAGTGTTTGTGTTGTTGTGTTTATGTGAATTTGTAGTAATCTTATTAGAAACTTTGGGAAGTTTTAGGACACTCTGAGAACGTATATACTGGAAGCTAACAACATAATTACTTTTAAAGTTTATGAATATTTATTATTTACTTATCTAACTTGGAGGCTACTATTACATAGACATTTTCAAAACTGTCCAAACACATTTAGTTTTAATACTTTCTTAGATTTACGCGATTATTCGACATTTCTTCTTATCGTTTCTTTTCATTACTTTCTTCTTTTATTTAAAATATGTTTTCGGATTTTTTTACGGATTTATTTTGATTTTTGGTTCAATTTCTAATACAATTTAGCACTTATATTTAAGAATTGAACTCACGATTTTGCAGCTATTTCTATGGGATTTTTATTGGCATTTCAATAATTCTTATGTTAGTTTATAATATTTTGGTGACTTGAAACTCAAAATCTACCAAACTTTACTTTAAAGTTAGTTTACTTTATAATCATGTGTAATTTTTAAGTACAACTTATCATTGTTCTAAAATCTGAAAGATCTGTCTTCTGAGTTTTAACATCACTGAAGATAAAATTTAAAACACAGATCTACCACGTTTTAGAACAAAAACAAAGCTTTCTCAAGTTAAAAATGTAAATTTTAATACCATCCAACGCTTCTAACACCCGCCAGTTTTCATTAAGGCGTCAATTCTCGGCTAATTTATTAGATTTTGCGATCGATACTTCTACTTTAGATTCGGGCAGTGACTATTGTACGTGGACGATTTTCAAATCACTTACCTATATCTAGAGTATGTTTGTTTATTCCACAGTAAATGTTACATGAAGATGGGATGAAATGGCCCCAAATAAAAAGCTTGTCTATGAATTTTTAGAACATCACGTTCAACTGCTGTATTAAAATTGATCATTTTTGATTGAAAATTTATCTTTTATCTATTATATTTTGATTAGTAAATAATATAAATTATAAGCTAAAATGTAGGTGAATATTGATCAATATCGTTATCTAGAAATGAAATAATATTAAATATTTTATGTTGTGTTCTTGCACTATTTGAAATATATTATGGAAACCAAATCAAATCTTCTTTGACAAATCGTTTGTCTGCAATTGAAGCGTTTTAATAAATTTTATTTCAATTTCAAAATAACATATATATAATAGGGTCGAGCAAAAAAATTTTTTTTCTTAGTTTGGGGGTAGAATTTGTAGTTTATAAAAAAACATTTTTTTTTAAAACTCAAAAAAATAATTACTCGACATTTTGAGGTGGCCTACTGATTTTTTAAATAAATAATTAAAATTTTTGGTTTGAATGTAATTTTTTTCGACTGATCATCTTTGAAAACATTCAAGAGTTGAAGAATATTGTCAATTAACCTAAGAAAAAAGATTTTTTTTTCTTTCCACCCTAATATAGGTATATCCAAAAGTCATACATATTCCAAAAGTGAGTATCGCTTAAGTTCATGACTTATAAGCATGTTTAGCAGTGGTGGATTTAATAGATATAGGTATCCGAGACGTTGTGATAGAAGATGTTATAATAATAAATAATCGTGGATTTATTAATTTTATAATTAGCTTTTGCTCACGCTTGCGCAGCTTATTAATGTTTACAGTTTACTCGCCTAGTAACTTGGGGATGTAACGTGATATTTTATGATTCCGATGATAGATAGCCTAAACAAATAAATTTCTAAAATTCATCTAATAGATATGCTATGATATGCAAATGAAAATCTGAATGGGAGTTTTGGAGATTAGAATCTTTGTATTGTGGTATTGATTAGAGCTATGATTATGATACCTTTGAATTAATATTTAAATATAAAAGTTTCGTATACATAATTCATAAAAGTGTTGAAATATGACGTTCTTTTCAGATAATATCTCAACTTTGATTTTGTTTACATCTTAAGCCTATCGAAAAATTCTTAATCTATCAAAAAATGATGCTATTTAGCAACATTGGAAGGAATAGAAAACACCTTTAATGTGACGAACCAGAAGGCAATTCTTTTCATAATGAAGTTCAATTAACCAATAAGATGTTTGCTTTTCTGATATCTAGGGACTTAGATATTATATTTTTCAAAAAGAAAAAAATCTAAAAATTTTTTTATATGAATGACATATTATGATTTAACACTAAAAATCGATTAAAATCATTTCAGTACATCTTGTCATAGCTTATTTTTGTTACATTTACAGGTACTGCCTCTTCTCCTTTTGCATGGATGGCCATCTTCCGTGAGGGATTTCTACGATATTATTCCTTTACTGACTAAAGTCAGACCAGGTTACAATTTTGTTTTTGAAATCATCGCACCTAGTTTACCAGGATTCGCTTATTCTCAAGTAAGTTTTATATAATTGTCTTAACATAAAGATACTTAGGCTGCAGTTTTATTTCATATTTCACCATGCAGGCAAGTGTGGGTTGACGGATTTCACATTATCTTTCGAAAACTTACTAAGTTCTCTCAGGCCAGCTGGTTCCTCACTATTTTTTGCTTTACCATAAGACCAGTGGTAATCATGTTGAAAAAAAGTCACACGTGAAAATAGCACAGGTTTACGACCCGGGATGTGAAGCTGCTTCACTTGATTTCACAAGCGAACGTATTGCCACTGGGCTTCCATTGTCTTATCCTATTTAGTTCTTATTGTGTATAATTAGACTCATAACCTGCAACTTTAAAAAATGAAGCCAAATAAACACTGGCATGTTACATTACGTCAACGGGTTTTGACACGAATAATTTAATATATTACAAGTATGTTATAATTATAATGAATCATGTATAATGCATAGGAGCAAATTACATACCCAATCAATCATGAAATTCTACTATGAAATACAAAGCCAGTGTAATAACGACTATTACCATTGTGGCCATCGTAATTTTATATTCATTAACTATTATAATTAACATAAAAGAACTTTTATGACCAATATTTAAGCACAATTTTAAGTCGTAAACGCGTTCGTAACCGACTGAAAAATTACAGCGGTAATATTTTTTTTTTTTTTTTTATGTTTTACAGATAATTTTTACAGAGTCTCTATAGTTTTTTAGCCTTTGTCATTTGACATTAATAAATATACTCAAATTCAAGTTGCCAAAAAAAATTGAAAATACATGAAAATTAAAAATCATACCGAGTCAAAGATTTGAAAAGTACGTTCGTGATTTTTGCTTGACAGGTTAGACAAAAACACTAGGAAATTCTAATTTAAATCTCTTAGTATATTTGAGTGTACATATTATTATAATCAACATGAAAGATATAAATTATAAATGTGTATACTTATTATCTATACATACATATATTAATAGTTCAACTGATAGCTGTCTGTACATGGAAGATATTTGAGAAAATCTATTATTGATGATCTTTATAAAAGCATTAGAACCCAAAACAATTATTTATAGATTTTTTGTCTGTTTGTCTGTGTGTTAGTGCGTCCTGATTTCAGAAACGGCTTAACCAATTTGGGTGCGGTTTTCACTAATGTATTGTGGTAAGCTTCATTTAACATTTAGTATTTGTTTTATTTCAATCGGTTCATAAATCAAAAAGTTATGACAATATAATGAATCACCTAGGAACGAATCCGAGCGAAGCGAGTGTGAGTCGCTAGTAAGATAATAAATATCTATATTATTATTACTACAAAAAAATCGAAAATCTTTACGGGAATCGAACCTATGGCTAGGTAGCGTATATATTGTATATACTTTCTAGAGATCTAGATTGATTAAAGTTTCAATGATGAGAAATCTTTAAAGTGAAAGAAAATATCATAATATATCTTTGCTGAGAAACAGTAGAGACCTTATATTATCTACATTTAATATTAATTACTTGGAAATTCATAATAGCAACGTGTAATATGACCTAGTTTTGTGGGAATTTCACACGTGAGTTCAATTGCAATAATTTTTATGTATTCTCCCTTATATTGATTACCGAGGTACTGACCGACTGACTGCAACATTTGAGGGGGTATCAAAATTAAAAAGACGGAATAATTGCAATAGCCAATGTCACTGTCCGGTCTACAGCTAAGCTACATACCTATGTGAAAAAAACAATTTAGATAATAATATAATATGATATAATATAACAGACCAACGTAATAGACTATTGTTTATGGCCATGTTCCTTTCTCTCGCATTTAGGAGATGCCCATGCCCAGCATTGGAAATATTAAAAGGTCTGAATTGTAATATTTAATAAACAACTATTATATTTCTCTTTGAAGATAAAATGTATGTATTCACTCCTTGTTAACGTCTCACTGCTGGCCACGGGACTCCCAATTCAATACGAGGGGGATGAGGCCATAGTCCACCAAGCTGGCCAAGTGCGGGCGGACTGAACATGTTTTTCAAAAACTTGCCATGTTCTCTCAGACATTCAGGTTTCCTCGTGATATTTTCCTTAACGTATGACAAGTGGTAATCATGTTGGAAATGATTTGCACATGAAAATGTCAGAGGTGCGAGACCTGGATTTGAACCAGCTTCACTCGGTTTCCCAAGCGAGCGCTTTACCACTGGGCTAAAATACACTAAAAATTTGTACTAAACACGTATGAAAATAATGTACGGTTAATTTTGATCACGAGTTTATCGAGTTTTGTAGTAATTTATTATACTTTTCGCTACCAGTTAATTAATATTTGTATATGACAGTGATAAATGATAATTCTGCAAAGTATTCTACGCTATGTATTGCTCGTGGCTGGAATTAATATTATTTAAATAGTGAATTATATTGAAAACCGAGACGATCGCAATGTGGTATTCATGTTACGTTTTACTGTTACTGTTTAGTGCTTACTATGAGAGATATTGCGGGTTCGATTTAAAATTAGGAATAGGAAACTATAATATTTTATATGTGAATATACGATAAAAATATATCATGTAAATATAATATATCCTGGTATATTGGATATTTTTGGAGGAAATTATTTTGGTTTCAAATTAAGTATCTTTTACCATTGGTTACTAGCAAAAGATCACTTTTAGTGATACGGCCGTTTCGCACATATGTTTTATTTTTTAAGAAAACTACCTTTTTGGATTTCTTCGCGGATTTATTTTAATTTTTGGTTCGCGACGTTTCGAATGCTTTACAGCAATCATGGTCACGGGAGTGACTAAGGTTTGATTTTTTTAGAAAAAATCTGCAGTTTTATTTTAAATATCAAATATCGATTTACATTACATAATATTTACAAAATATGTGTGCAATGAAGTGCTATATAGAAATAAATAGAATAATTATATATAATTATATGAGAACCCGCGGGCAGCACAATTAGAGCGGATGAGACGACGTAATTAGGACATTGCTATTAATCAATATCTTGTACTTGTATCATACTTTCCTTAATAAAGAACGTAATTATTCTCCGTTTTAAGCAAAGTAGCTGAGTGAAAACACGAGAAGTCTATTGAAGCAGAAAACAAAGTTTTTATCTTTATAATATCGCAATATTTATATTTTTAACTGAAATCTTAAGCAATTGTATTATGGGTTATGTCTCTGACATTGATTTCATTTGAATGTTTCCACAAGCTTATAATGAATTTTTGTACTACCTTCTAACAACCATAGTTTAACCTAAAAAAATGGAGACAGAAGAAAAACTATCTTCTTATAAGCCCTTTAAAAAGTGAATGAAAATGAGTAAATGAAAATATATTTGATTTTTTGGAATTTTAATTACTAATGTTGTATTTCATATTTATTCGAGATAAATCCATGTTTTAGCTTTACAAAATTTTATTAAAAATACATATTAAGATACGTAGGATTTTAAAGCGCTTTTTTTTATACTATTCGTTCTTTTTCTTTTCAGGCGACGACAAAACCCGGTTTAACAATGTACCAAATGGCCATTATTTTGCGAAATTTGATGGAAAGGATTGGTCATAAGCAATTTTACGTACACGGAGGGGATATTGGCCATATAATTGGATCACATATTGCTACGATATTCCCTAAACAAGTTCTAGGCTTCCATACAACAACACCAATAAATTTGTCTAAATTGGCGCATTTGACTTTGGTTGTTGGAAGTGTATGGCCAACGTTGGTTGCCAATGAATTAGCGGATAAAATATATCCCTTATCCGATAAACTTCAGTATTATATAGAGGAGTCCGGTTTCTTACATTTGCAGAGCACTAAGCCGGATACTCTGGGTAAATAGTCGTTAGGTCTAACTTCAATACTTGAAGAAACTAATTTGTATTTACTTGAATGCTCAAAGTATGTGTAGTTGGAAACGGGTATTATTTATGACGTACACATATACCTATTATTATATAAAACTAGCAGCTCACCCTCGCTTAGCTCGGGTTCGCCTCTAGACAAACAAAAACAAATTTATCCCACGGGAAACGTACATTTTTTCGGAATAAAAACTAGTCTATGTGTTAATCTTATGTATGAACTATATTATTGTAAAGTTTTATTAAAATTCAATTATTAGTTTTTGTGTACTAAGCTGTATAAGTTCCTATAGTTTTTTTATTATCCCACGGAAACTCCTTAATTTTCCGGGATAAAAAGTATCTAAGATGTTGACCGGGGATATAAAGTATCACCATGCAGAATTTCATTTAAATCGATTCTACAGTGTCGGCGATTAGCCCGTACATACAGACAAACAGACAAACACAGAAAGAAACAAAAAAATAAAAAAAATTGGATTTGTTCTATTTCTCTTCTTGCATCCCCCTGACTCGGTTTCTAGCATATTTTTTCTACACAGGCATTCGACCTCTATCTATTTTTATTACATGTATAGATGTACAGATTAACTCCGTGGAATATTCCTTAAATGGACCTTTTTGTAATATTGCTTTTGTATTTCAGGTATAGCTCTACAAGACTCACCTTTAGGTCTAGCTGCGTACATCATCGAAAAATATCTTCTTTACACAAACCCTGCCAACAAAGATGCTTTTGATGGGGGCTTTACCTCGTTCAATGGTACTGATTTAATGGATAATGTACTTATGTACTGGAGTACGGGAAGTATCACAACTGCGCTTAGACTGTATAAGGAGAGCGCCTTAAATTATAATATTGAAGAAACTTTGGCACGGTAAGGCTTAACTTTGTTATGGTAAGATCGATCATTTTGTATAGTTTCTTGTTTGTGTTATGTAACGTCTGTGTATCTTATCTCATGAGTATATTTGGTTTGAAACTTTAGTTTCAAAATATGACTTTATCTGAAATTTCTTTATTTATTTTTTTGCTGCAAAGGAAATTTAGTTTTAAATCCCTTCATCTATGAGCCACACGTTATAACAGTTAAACAATCACAAATATTTTAAAAATTATTGACCAGATCTTAAACGCTCAGTATGATGGCAATACGTGAAGACTTATAGATCCATTTCTGTTTTTTGTTCAGTAAGGTTGATCCAGTAAGGTTAAAAAATAGCATTTCTCTACTTAATTGTTTTTACCAAACTCGGACTATTTTCTTAAATAGATGGGAGCTACTATTACATACAGACGCCCAAGTATAGTTTATTTAATAAAAAAACCAACACCTTGCTCATTTTAAAGTCGTATCGGATTGTCCCATCTAACTATAAAGTTTAGGGAATACAGAGTAATTCTTGTGTATATACACTGAACTATAAACTATAATTAATATCTCCCATATCTAGAGAGATCGGCCACTACCGTTAAAATTCATTCAAGCGAAAATTAATAATTTGAATGAAAACTTTACAAGAAAATCACATTTCAGGATACCAACTGAAGTTCCAACATGGGGTCTCAGGACTAAATATGACTTGGCCCATCAGCCTGACTTTATCTTACGATGGAAATATCCCAACTTGCTTGGCACTACAAATCTTGATATTGGAGGACACTACATCATTTTTGAGAAACCAGAAGAAGTTGCCCAAGATTTATTTAAAGCTGTCAGCAGGTTTTTGGAGAAGAGCTATTAGTGTTTTTTAATAAAAAAATTCATAAGATTAGATTTTTGTCCTTTCTAATATTTAAAAGAAGGATCTTTGCCATACCTAATTTATTTTTAATTTTTAAAGTATTAGCCGAAAAAAACAGTTTACCAGCGCTACGATTTCTACATATTTTTTTCATAAACACAATCGATATTATTGTATCAGCCTTCTGTAAGAATCTAATTCAGAACCAGACTGGCAAAAGAAAAAGAAAAAATCGGCCGAGAAAGTTTTTCTCTAATTATTCAGCCAAGCTCATTAAAAATAAAGTAAAACATAAAATTTATTTTGTTAATAACTCTTGGTTTCTATTCAGTTCCTCAACGTTGGCTTTTTGATGTTTAAATAAGTGCCTCCTTTAATGTTTTGTGGTCATTTTTTCTTGAGGAAAGTGTTATTAAAGCTAATAATTATATCAAAATTATTAATAAAAAGTTATTTTTATGGCACACTATAAAATATAAACGTAATACTTTCTTAGATTTATGCGAATATTTGAAATTTTTAATAAAAATATATTTTCGGACTATTTCGCGGATTTATTTTGGTTCTTGGTTCTCGACGTTTTGAATGCTTTACAGTAATCATGGTTACGGGAGAAACTAAGATTTTAAACGTCTTAAAGGCTTTATATAATTGTTACAGACAGTGCCTACTCACAATTTTACAAAATGATTTTAATAATTCAAAAATTGCACCAAAGTACCTTATATTTTTTTTAATAAGTATTATAATTAAATAGGGCAATAATATTAATTCATTTTAGCTGTTATTATTATAATTTTTTTTTAACTTGCATTAATTTATAATATTATTTAGTGTCGTTATTATTATAAACTTATATGCTTCAAATATATTATTTCGAACATGCTCATCTAATTGCCACGTAATCTATAAGTACCATAGACTAATATTAAATACATTTCTGGTCAGCCAATAAGAAATTTTACCTTTTTTTTAATCTTGAGCAATAGATAAAGCAATCCCCAATTCACTAAACCGGAAATATAAAACGGTATTACAAAATGAAGAGGGAATCGATTTAAAAAAAGCTGTAGGCAGGACTAGGCAGACAGAATCGGCTACGAAATTGAGTTAGCTTCCCGCGCTCTGCGTTGCATTGGATTATTTTCATCGTGTTTAGGATATTTTGTAACGATTTCGTTATTATATTATAAAATAACTACTATTTGACTTAAAATATAGACTTTATTATGATTTTAAAGGAATAACTCGACCGCGAACCACGAACACCTAGGAATTTGTATAGAATAATGAAAATAAATCTATTTAATTAATAAATTAAAATTGGCATACGATACTATAAATATGATATAACATAAAACACGCTAAATAAAAATAGGAATTGTCAATATTTTTAATACTTAAGAAAAGAATTTGTTGTAGTTTATAATTTGTGTACAGTTATTAAAAGTAAACGACTCATAAACTAAAGGCAAAGCAGAAGCTATATAATTTCGTCTGTCTGTATGTTAGCCATTTTAATTTAGACTGTTGAAGCTATATTATTTAAAGGAAGAAGATACTATGAGTAGTTTTTGAGATGTGCGATATTTTCGATATCACACGTTTGATCGCAAAATAATGTTATTTCCCATGAAATAAAAAAATATTTTTGCAGTTGATGTAATAGTTGTACTATTTCAAAACATATATATTAATTTAATGTTTCATGCTACGGAACCCTTGGTGTGCGATCTCAGACTTGCTCTTGCTTGTTTTTTTCTATTTATTTCGAAGTGAAAATTGCGGGAAAGTTGTAGAAATTTTTTAAATCTTAAGCGGAACATGCTTCCGATTTAAAATCGATTTCAAAACAAGCAACAAACTTCTAACGATAATCGTTAACAATTGGATTTCGCAGTGAATCAAGTTACACTTACTTCGTTCGTTTTTAGGAGACACGTATTTTAAGTGATTATTTTATACTTCTGAGTGCAATATGTTGGGTTTATTTATTTATATGGATCTCCAGCAGTATACATATTTAACATTTACAATTTACTTAAACCTTGTTAAAGTATTTATGTACAACCAATTACATGGGAACATATCATTCGTTATGTAATATTAATACAGTGTTTTAAAAATGCTTAAAGCTACTAATAAATTTTTTTAATACTAAAATAATATATATCTTATACGAGTACTATTGAGAAACGAATACAATAAAAAAAACAAAACTAATAACTTTAATAACAAATTAAACTTAATTCGATTCCAATGAGATTTTTTTGTATGAATCATATAAATTTTTGGCTCAGTCTGGTTAGAAAGGTGTGACTTTATGAGAATAATACAAGGTTATATCGTCTAAGAATTGGTTAGCACTTAGGCTCCCGACAGGGCGCAGAAAAACATGGTCCATTGGTTTAAAACAGAGCATGAAGGTATATCACTGTAATTATAATAAATGTTAGTTTGTGATTGTGTAATGCGTATGTTTGTTACTTCTTCATTTGTTAACCGCTGAATGGATTTGGATGAAACTTAACACAATAGTAGGTGATGTTTTAGAAATTCATCCGTATTAAAATTATAAACGTATTAATATTATCAATGTGAAAGTTTGTGAGTATGGATGTTTGTTACTCTTTCAAGCCAGAACGGATGAACGGATCTGGATGAAATTTGGCACAGAGATAGATTATAGTCTGCAATAACACATAGGCTACTTTTTATCCCGGAAAAATATACAGTTCCCGTGGGATAGGTTTGTTTTTGTTTTCCTAGAGGTGAACCTGAGCGAAATGAGGTTGAGCCGTTTTTCAAGCGGATGAAACTGGGCGAGTTGCTTACACTTCATTCATTTAACTTGGTAATTTATAACAATACATTCTAATCCACGAAAAATCTGTAAAAACAAGAGAATCCCCTCTTTACTTTATTATGGTAAAATTTCAAAGATTTCAAACGCGGTTACCTTTTTAACCATTTTCTTTTGTCGCCTCATTACGAGTCTCAGTCGTGATTAGTTCAGCATCTACCTCATTTACAATTCAAACCAGATCTATTACCCAAAAGCTGACATTACAAAATTAACTCTATTTATATAGAAATAAGATCTATTTTCAGTATGGCATTTTCATTAATTTCAAGAACATTGCTTCATGACGAGCTCATTTGGTTGGCAAAACAGTTTTACCTGTCTTCCGTGTTCGTTGTAAGATTAAGCGGTGTTTTCTTGATTACTAAGATAAATGATATTCTGAGAACGAAATATTTCGGTGAAAGATGATTGGTAATTTATTTGTATTCTACCTATAATATAGGTTATTTTTGTTTAGGTTTGCTTTTATATTTGTTTTATAATATTTTCTTAGATTTACCCGAATATTTGACATTTTAAATAAAACTTTCTATTCGGATTTTTTCGCGGATTTGTTTTGATTTTCAATTTCCGACGTTTCAAATGCTTTACAGCAATCCTATTCACGGAAAAGATGTCGGGAACCAAAAATCAAAAGAAATCCGCGAAAAAATCCGAAAAGATAGTTTTATTTAAAACGTGTTTTAGTATTTTTCGAAATTCATACCATAAGGGGATAAAAAGGGGAAGAAAGTTTGTATTAAACTACCTTTTAGAGATTTATTTTGTAGTTTTAGCGCGACCGAAGCCGCGGGTTCTGCTAGTAATACATAATTACTTGTCCGGCTACTTTATTTTGTGTTTTCTTTTATTTTAAATTTAGAGGATCTACATAAAACATTATTTATTTGTAAGTTTTAATTTTCAATTATGTAACAGACTCGACTTGGATAATTACGTAGGCTTAGAAGACGTGCTACGCTTCGCTTCGCTCCCCGCCTTAGCCTTCTCGTTAGGTCTTTTTTTTATTTCAAATCGAGAACCCACAATATCATATTTTTTTTAATTTAAAATTTAGTGACAAAAGAATTGTAAGTGTCAAATATATTTTGTTTAAAATAATTCATTATTAATTAAAAATAATTACTGAACAATTTATACAGTTGCACGTTTAAAAACGTAAATTAAATCCGTATAAAAATAATGTCGTAATCTGTCTCTGACAGGCGTTCCGGCTCTTCCATAATTCTGCTAAGGACACAAACAAAAGGACGACTGCTATATAATACTCGTATTTCCAATTAATTTAGTATATACTAGCATTGCCCGCAGCTTCGCCCGCGTTCAGATGACCCAAAACCAAATTCTTTGGTTTTACATGTAAGTATACTCTTACATTGCAGTTGTTGTATTTTTTCTTAGAAATGAGACATTTTCCCGCTGTAAAAAGTATCCTATATGTTGACACGAATAACCAGCTGTCACCATACCACATTTCAACAAAATCCCTCTAGTGGTTTTTCTGTGAACGGTAACAGACAGACAGGCAGACAGACAGACAAAAATTCTAAAAACTATAGATTCGATCTCTGTATCGATAATAATGTTTATTTCAATATTATTTTCCAAAAAATATTTAATGTACAGATTCGGCTTAGTTACAATTTTATTATATGTATAGATTTAAACATATAAGGAAAAAGAATTTAAGAAGTTCGACATTTGTATGGAATGTGATTTTCAATTTTCGTACTTTATTCAACTTTGGTGTTTTTATCCTGAACAAAATGGTTGTTTTATGTCTCCTTTAAAAAATGTAGTGAGTTATTTCATTTCCCAAGTAAATATTGGATCTTTTATAATTTTCTAGATAAGCTTATTATATACAAAAATAATGTTAAAATAATAAAAGCTAAAACATATCTTACCCCTGTTCCGAACCTAAGCCACAAGTTTCAAAAAAAGTAAAGAATTAATTTAGAAAATTAACATTCTTTAAGCAACCGCGTTTACTTTCCAGGGATTGAAGAAGAACTGTAGTTTCAAATGTTTTAAAGGTTTGAAATAATTTAAGTTTGTTTAGGTTGAAGGTTTTATTTTATTTTTGTAAGTTATGAATTGTATAAATAAGTTTTACAGTCTTACCGAAAAA